TTTTGTTAAGCCTTTAACAAAATAAATAGCTCAGACTTACAATCTACATTTGACACTTGAGTTCAGTAATGGACAGATCAAATTATGGAATTTGTACCTGTAATCAATAATTGAAAAGGCAAGCTTATCAATTTTGAGTTATATTATCAAGTATTGGCCCATCACTAGTTACCATTAGATGTAAAAAAAAATAAAGAGACAAACAAGAGGCCTTGAGGGCCTGAATCCCTCAACTGGATATTCAAACAACCACGGGAACATATTGTGATTAAATACATCATGTACTGCAACTATAGTCTCTGTCTCTCAGCATATTGAAAGAGAATAATTTAAACACTTATCAATATTTCCCCCCTATTGGACCCCCACTCCTCTGCCCCCAGGAGGGTCACATGCACCCTCTGTTTATACAAAATTGGGTCCCCTTTGACCAAGGATACTCGAACTCCAGGCCAAATGTAGTCAAAATTCACTGAGCTGTTCGACTTCAGGACAAGGACACCAAGGATGAAGCTTACCAAGTTTAAAAAGATTCATTCCCCGGTTCTTAAGAAAATATCTAAAAGTTTTCAGACGGGTGGTGACCTAATAATAGTTTACACATACCAGCATATAAACAGTTTCAAACATTGTGAAACATGATACATTTTTATATGCACTACCTCCATTGTTCAGGAAATGCCTCTTCACTGTAGGACTTGTTCAGGGTATCAAGGAAGTAGACGGTCTGCTGTCAAAAACCAGTGATCAGGTTGGCAATCTGGCACTTCATTACACTTCATGCTTACCAAACCAGACCTACAACAATTATGTAATTGAGATTTCAGTAATATTTGCTAAATGTTGTATATAATGCACATGAAAAAAAAATGTTAACGACTTAAAACAAGTATTTCAAATTAACTTAAATCAAAGATATGTTTGATAATTGGTCAACAATATTGACATCCAATATCACTCAATAACCACTGTTCCCATGAACTATAGCTATAGATTTGTCATCTCCTATATTAGACAAGTTTAAATATGACATCTGCAACAACTGCATATGGGCAGGCCAAGGTTATGCACATTTTCCTTGAATGAGGCATACTTGATTGAATCTGATGTCATCACGATCTAATAATATTAGAAAATTTAAGTCTTGATTTTTATGCTAATTTCAGGCTGTTCAAGTATTTGAAATCCTTACTGTAAATATTGAGATAAAAATCATATAAAACATAAGGGTATTGCTACTTTTTTGTAGTAGACTAGGCCTAATAGTATTAGGCCTAGTCTACTACAAAACAAGAGGCCCATAGGGCCTGTATCGCTCACCTTGATATCTAAGCAATCATGGCAGAATATTCTCCAAATGAGATCCAAGGGAATATGCCAGACCCCAAGGCCAATCCTTGTAGCATATATATCTGTATTCAATTTTTCATGCCCAGCAATTTTATGTATGGTTATAGGGTGGGGATCTCAACTGTTTCCAAGCTGTGACTCAGAAACTAGGTCCCTACGGTTGTGGCCAGACCCCAGGATCAATTCTAATATCATGACTGCATTTGTCTCTTTTTGCCCAGCATTTGTATATATAGTTTTGGGGTGGGGATTTCAACCGTTTCAAAGTTATGACCCAGGGGTTAAGTCTGCAAGGGTGGGGCAAACCCTGGGGTCAATTCTAATATCATGACTGCATTTGTCTCTTTATGCCCAACAATTGTATATATAGTTTTGGGGTGGGGATCTTAACCATTTCAAAGTTATGACCCAGGGGTTAAGTCTCCAAGGGTGGGGCAGTCCCCAAGGCCATCCTGGAAGCATATGTGCATTCATCTCTTTGTAATCGGCAATTGTCTATATGGTTATAGGGTGGGGATCTCAACTGTTTCCAAGCTGTGACTAAGAAACTAGGTCCCTAGGGGTTCGGTCAGACCCCAGGGTCTATTCTAATATTGTGACTGCATTCGTCTCTTTATGCCCAGCATTTGTATATATAGTTTTTGAGTGGGGATCTCAGCCGTTTTAAAGTTATGGCCCAAGGACTATGTTTCCAAGGGTGGGGCCAGACCCTAGGGCCATCCTGGAAGCAAATGTGCATTCTTCTCTTTATACTCAGCAATTGTATATGTGGTTATATGGTGGGGATCTCAACCATTTCCAGGCAATAAACTTTTTTTGGTCCCACCCCTTAGCCCGGGGGGTCAGTCACACCATTTGTACAATTTTGAATCCCTGCCTCCCATGAATGCTTTTGATTAAATATGATTGATATCCAGTGCATAGTTCTACAGAAGAAGTCGTTTATAGCAATCTAGCCAAATTGCCCCCTTTTTGGCCCCACCCCTCAGCTCCCTGGGGGGTCAGCCCAACCATTTGTACAATTTTGAATCCCCACCACCTAGGGATGCTTCCAGTCTAATATGGTTGATATCCATCACTTAGTTCCAGAGAAGAAGTCGATTAAAGCAATATAGCGGAATAACCCTTTTTGGCCCCGCCCCTCAACCCCCTGGGGGGTCAGCCACACCATTTGTACAATTTTGAATCCCCACCACCTAGCAATGCTTCCAGTCTAATATGGTTGATATTCATCACTTAGTTCCAGAGAAAAAGTCGCTTTAAAGCAATATAGCCAAATACCCCTTTTTGGCCCCGCCCCTCACCCCCCTGGGGGGTCAGCCACACCATTTATACAATTTTGAATCCCTGCATCCCATGAATGCTTTTGATTGAATATGATTGATATCCAGTGCATAGTTCTACAGAAGAAGTCGTTTATAGCAATCTAGCCAAATTGCCCCCTTTTTGGCCCCACCCCTCAGCCCCCTGGGGGGTCAGCCCAACCATTTGTACAATTTTGAATCTCCACCACCTAGGGATGCTTCCAGGCAAATATGGTTGATATCCATCTCTTAGTTCCAGAGAAGAAGTCGCTTCAAGCAATATAGCCAAATTGCCCCCTTTTTGCCCCGCCCCATAGCCCCACCATTTGTACAATTTTGATTCCCCACCACCTAAGGATGCTTCCAGTCAAATTTAGTAAAATTCCAATCAGTGGTTAAGAAGAAGAAGTCGTTTAAAGAAATTGTTGACGGACGGACGACGAACGGACGGACGGACGACGGGCGCCGCGGTATGGCATAAGCTCACCTTGGTCCTTTGGACCAGGTGAGCTAAAAAGTAGCAATACCCTTATGTTTTATATGATTTTTATCTCCATTTACAGTCAGAATTTCAAACACTTGTGATTGGATACTTGAAATCAAAGTTTTACTTTCTGCACAACGTATAAGGCCTGTCAAGCTATGACAGCACCAATATCAGTTCTGTATTTCAGACATGTATTTGATGATTTTTAACGAACCCCTGTGTGCAGGGTTAACATTTTGCCAGTTACCAAATACTTGTTGGATTCCGTTATGGCTACGGCGTCCTAACTATAAATATGACGATTTTCTGCTACGATACAAACAATTTTGGCTCAAACCTAATTGATGTCATAACTAAGGCTTACCGCACTGTCGACTGCATTTTCCAGAATCTACTGCCACAATCGGGTATGTTTCCGGTTTAAGGGAGCGAGCATTATTTTCCGCGAATTTCGTTGGCGATTTTTCCGCGAATTTCGTTGGCGACTGTTGTCTTAATGAGAACTAAAATTGTAGAATGAATTCTAGAATGAATTCTAGAATTTTAGTTCCTCATTAAGACGACAAGCGGCGCTCCATCATAAACGATATCGAAATCGCATTCGGTAAAACTAGCATAGCATTGAATGAACACGCAATAGATTTGTAAACGAGTGAAACAACACAAATGTACATAGCATGGAAAATAGACACTTATCAACTAGAGAAATAATACAAATGTACATAGAATTAGATTCAAAACCAGAAGTAACTATAATTATATAACTTATCAACTAGGGAAATAATACAAATGTACATAGAATTAGATTCAAAACCAGAAATAACTAATTATATAAAAAATAATTATGGCGGTGATCCCCTTCCATAATTATGCACCTAAACTCTTATATTTTATACAATCACATACATTATTCAAATATTATACACTCTTACTCATCATTCATTCAGATACATTTAACACTCCCATACATTACGTATACATACCAACATGTATCACACAAACATACATTATACACTCACATACATTACATACCCACATGTATTACACAAACATACATTTAACACTCACATATATTACATACCCACATGTATTACACAAACATACATTATACACTCACATACATTACATACCCACATGTATAATACAAACATACATTATACACTCACATACATTACATACCCACATGCATTACACAAGCATACATTATACACTCACATATATTACATACCCACATGAATTACACAAACAAACATTATACACTCACATACATTACATACACACATGTATAATACAAACATACATTATACAATCACATACATTACATACCCACATGGTTACACAAACATACATTATACACTCATATACATTACATACCCACATGTATTACACAAGCATACATTATACACTCACATATATTACATACCCACATGAATTACACAAACATACATTATACACTCACGTACATTACATACCCACATGTATAATATAAACATACATTATACACTCACATACATTACATACCCACATGCATTACACAAGCATACATTATACACTCACATACATTACATACCCCCATGTATTACACTCACATACATTCTTCACTGAAATATGTTATCATATGTTTCCATCCATAAATGACATCCGCTGTTATATATGCCGCTGCAGACCATCCAACCACCCCAAGTAGGGATACTATGTTACACGTCACAATTGTCCTGGAAACGCTCTCCGACGGGACGCGCCTGTAGACATCGGTGCAATGCGTGCATTATTGTTAACGTTGGTGATACGGGTGTACCCGTTATGGCTAAGGATACCCTTCGTGTTTGTTGTACTCTCACGATGAAATGGGCGGCCTTTTGACCATTTTGAATTGACTTGCTGGATAATGTCTTTTGCAATTCTGCAACAAACTATTACTGTACTTTTGAAGTAACTGTTTAATATGCCATTTTATCTAGGCACAGTTTCTTTTTCCGCTAGCATACATAGACACGCACAAATAATTACACTCACCTATAACGTCCACTGTGGTCGTGTCTGTCTGTGGTGGTGTTGTAGTGTCGAAGCTATTATTTCTCCCCTCACATGTCCATCTGTCCCCTTGACTGTAGCTGTTGGCGGGAATCTTTATCCCCAGTGTCCTCGTGCCTCTGTTACAGGTAAATGTGTTGGGTGGTGTTGATAGACATGATGTCCCAAAGTTTATAAACATTGAACCTACTCTACCTACACCATCATTTAGTTTATAGTTAACAGCAGCATTTGGTCCTGTGTAGTCAGCTGACCACTGACACGTGAGACTAAGGGTCTGACCGGACACGACCTCGGCTGCAGGACTGGGACTGACCACTACGGATAATCCAGTCACAACTGTACGGATGATAAAAACGATTATTAAAAGTATGGTATATTTTTTACTATGTACAGTGAAGTATTTAGGCCCGGGTTAAGGTTACGAGTCAGATTGGTCCGTGTGAATTTTGAGTATATAAGTATATAGCCATTGTCGACATAAATGAAGCAAAAAGAAATTGAAAGTTGGTTGTACAGAGATTGGTTACATTTTCTCTTGACTCTTACCTTAAATAAACTTATCTTGACATACGGCTTTTTGAAGGCTATATGTCACTTCCTAATTGTAATGGACGTTAGTACTGTTAAACGACGTATTAATGTAAAGGTTACCGAACCTATAATCAGCGTTACTTTACTATGTGAACGATACATGTTACTGATCGGTATACGTATGCCTCCCATTAGTTAAAGTACTTCATTGTACATGTTACTGATCGGTATACGTATGCCTCTCATTAGTTAAAGTACTTCATTGTACATATTACTGATTGGTATACCTATGTCTCCCATTAGTTAAAGTACTTACATGTACATGTTACTGATCGGTATACGTATGTCTTCCATTAGTTAAAGTACCTACATGTACATGTTACTGATCGGTATACGTATGTCTCCCATTAGTTAAAGTACTTCATTGTACATGTTACTGATTCGTATACGTATGTCTCCCATTAGTTAAAGTACTTACATGTACATGTTATTGATCGGTATACGTATGTCTCCCATTAGTTTAAGTACCTACATGTACATGTTATTAATGGATATACGTATGTCTCCCATTAGTTAAAGTACTTACATGTACATGTTATTGATCGGTATACGTATGTCTCTCATTAGTTAAAGTACTTTCATGTACATGTTACTGATCGGTATACGTATGCCTCTCATTAGTTAAAGTACTTACATGTACATGTTACTGATCGGTATACGTATGCCTCTCATTAGTTAAAGTACTTTCATGTACCTGTAACTGATCGGTATACGTATGCATCTCATTAGTTAAAGTACTTACATGTACATGTTACTGATCGGTATACGTATGTCTCTCATTAGTTAAAGTACTTACATGTACCTGTAACTGATCGGTATACGTATGTCTCTCATTAGTTAAAGTACTTTCATGTACCTGTAACTGATCGGTATACGTATGCCTCTCATTAGTTAAAGTACTTACATGTACATTTTACTGATCGGTATACGTATGCCTCTCATTAGTTAAAGTACTTACATGTACCTGTAACTGATCGGTATACGTGTGTCTCTCATTAGTTAAAGTACTGTCATGTACCTGTAACTGATCGGTATACGTATGTCTCTCATTAGTGAAAGTACTTTCATGTACATGTAACTGATCGGTATACGGATGTCTCCCATTAGTTAAAGTGCTTACATGTACATGTTACTGATCGGTATATTTATGCCTCTCATTAGTTAAAGTACGTTCATGTACCTGTAACTGATCGGTGTACGTATGCCTCTCATTATACGTATGTCTCCCAGTAGTTAAAGTACTTACATGTACCTGTAACTGACCGGTATACGTATGCCTCCCGTTAGTTAAAGTACTTTCATGTCCCTGTAACTGATCGGTACACGTATGTCTCCTATTAGTTAACGTAGTTACATGTACCTGTAACTGATCGGTATACCATTAGTTAAAGTACTTTCATGTACCTGTAACTGATCGGTATACGTATGTCTCCTATTAGTTAACGTACTTACATGTACCTGTAACTGATCGGTATACGTATGTCTCCCATTAGTTAAAGTACTTACATGTACATGTTACTGATCGGTATATGTATGCCTCTCATTAGTTAAAGTACTTTCATGTACCTGTAACTGATCGGTATACTTATGCCTCTCGTTAGTTAAAGTACTTTCATGTACATGTTACTGATCGGTATACGTATGCCTCTCATTAGTTAAAGTACTTACATGTACCTGTAACTGATCGGTATACTTATGCCTCTCATTAGTTAAAGTACTTTCCTGTACATGTTACTGATCGGTATACGTATGTCTCTCATTAGTTAAAGTACTTACATGTACATGTTACTGATCAGTATACGTATGCATCTCATTAGTTAAAGTACTTTAATGTACCTGTAACTGATCGGTATAAGTATGTCTCTCATTAGTTAAAGTACTTACGTGTACATGTTACGGATCAGTATACGTATGTCTCTCATTGGTTAAAGTACTTACATGTACATGTTACTGATCGGTATACGTATGTCTCTCATTAGTTAAAGTACTTACATGTATTAATACAGACATTCAACGCATAATTCAAGTAAGCATGAGTTTCCTTACGTTAAGAATCTATAGTCAAAAGTATATCTCAGATTTGTATTCTGGTCAATCTATTTAGTAACTTTCTGTCCAATGATTTCTATGATGTAAAGTAACCTGACCAGAGCTACATTCATAGGTAAAACATCAATTGACCTATTCGAACTGTGATAAATCGCGTGCTATGCTAATTTTATTGTTAACATACGAACCCAATAATAACGCCATTGTCGCCAATAGATTCGCATTTAATACGCAAGTTTGATTTATGAGATACAATCACCGTATTATACACATATATTTACAAATGTAATACAAAAAAAAGGGTAACAACTTCGTTTCCAACAGTAATCTAATATTGCTTTACTCAATTTAATAAGGGACTAATATATATTTACGGCATGGTACTTAAATTGAACGGTATTCTGTTGTCACAATTTACAGTCCGTAACATCTATTACTATTTATGTAAATACAACCATAACACGAGTTGCTATATATATAGAGCGAACGATCATGAACGTATGACAAAGACTGTATCATGTACCAGAACAAAACCAAAGTACAGGCGCATAACATTGAGGCACATAACATATCATTATTAAAGGTGTGTTTATATATGTATATTATTCAATAAACGTTTACTTTAGGTTTTTCATTTTATGATAGGATCCTACCATTGAAGGTATATGCATGTTATTTACTTGTTACTGTCAATGTTTTATCAGCGACAAGGAAGTAGGGTATCTATAATTATAGCCAGTTGTTATATATGTACTCTCCCTTCACCTTATGTAAGTAATCTTACCTTGGAGTGTGGTGATGTACAGCCATAACAAACACTGTAATCGTCTGTCCAGTGTCATACTGACCAGGTCGGTTTGCACACAACTGGTGTACAATTTGTTACCGATTACCCGAATACTTCCTGGTCTATTTTGATAATTTATGTAGCAGTTATGTCCCTTACTCCATCAGTATCTCTAACATTATGATTGATAGGCATTGAACTCGATAAACCATCATTACTTGGTGCGAGCCACTGTAATTGGTGTGTAAAAAAGACAAACTTCAGAATTTACAATTTGCCAAAAAACCAAGTGAAAACCTCAGATTAGCTTTTCATTTCCACATTCTGGGAAAACATCCGATACGTGTGTGTATACAATACATGAAATTGAGATACAATTATGTTTTATTTTGATTTAAACCTGGCATTTTCAATGAAATTAACATGTCGGAAGATCATAATCTTATGGTTTTTTTTTCTTAAAGTTCGTATAATTTGAAGTAGTGAGTAAAGAGTAAGTTATGTACATCTTCTTTCTTAAGTCCTGTCGTAATAAGAGAGACATCCATACACAAAGAGCGTAATATATCTGGGGTATTGCTTTCATTAAATACTTACAGTATGTGGGGCAAACATTACTCGTCATTACTCTGTTTTAAGTTTTAATTTCCTTTCCGAAATCTTGAAACAGATGACATTTTGGTGTCACGTCACAATAGTGTGATATGGCGCTTAAACATTCGAAACCCATTTTTGTTTCAAATCGGCATTTCCTGTTTAAATAGAGCTTTGAGCACTGTTTCAGTATCTGCTGTGTTGACAGCAAGCTTAGATAAGCATGTATTGCTTTTCTGGTAATTTTAAATCTATCATTATACAACTAAGCTTTAATTAAGTACCAACCCTGGTGGACGCGAGATCCTTGTTGAGTGTTTTTATGTATTAACCAACCCTAGTGGACGCAGGGTTTGTTCCACTACCTTAGGGAATTTCTAAGATTTTGGTATTGTAGCTGAGGATAATCTAAATGTAAATCTTACCTTCTTGTTGTTAAACCATGTCTAATGTTAATGAGGAGAATATGAGAAATAAAAACAAAAAGAAATTAAAATGTTCGTGTGCTCGTTTCTTTGTTTTTTGTTTTGCTTAGATCGGCCAAACATACGCATTTTATATAATATCTGATTTTTGCAGAAAGTTATCATTTTTATCATATTCAGATCAATTCATACAATATACTCCATGTTTGCTATCAGAAATCAGCGAATGTTTGCAAATTTAATAAAAATGCTAATTTCTGCTAAATTTAAAAAGTAAAAAGTTTTTGGTTATTTAACGATTTTGATCAAACGTTTTGATTTCTACTTTTGTCTCCATATACACTGGATTGATGTGTTTCTGTCCCAGCCAAATTATTTTTGTTAGTGTTGTTTTTCAATTTTTGGGGAATCGAAAAAAATGCTTCAGCTGATATGCATGTAAATGAGTTAAATTACCAAGATTGTTTTTAATATAATGAACATTATAAACGTGTACAGCAACAATCAATTGCTACAATTAAAATGGCAACACAATGACAGTTTTAGCGATCAATGTTGTGTCAGGAAAGGTAAAAATATTGGTGTTGTATGGATCGGAAGAATAAACATTTTCAAATTAGCCACTACATTGGCCTTTTTAAAAATCGTATAAAGCATTTCTAAAATAAAGTATCTCGTATTTAGCCACGTTTTCCAGATGTGTGTTTGCTTTAACAATTGATATTGACTGATTAACTTTAACAAAAACCTGTTTCACTAGATAAGCATGAGTTTGTAACGACATTAAACCTCAAAAGAGCTAGGCATATCTATATATAAATAGCTTGAGTGAAGTATTTTACTCAAACGTAAAATAGGTTAAACATGTAACAAAACATTGCATGTTTCTACAAAATATCATTTGTCAAAATCAAAACTTGGAAAAATACATTGCATGTCTACAAAATACTGGGGTCGGAGAATGTTAATTACGGACAACAACATTTAGGTAACTGTTAACATTTTACATTTTGTTACATTACATTTACAACTTAAAAGATCAGTCACATGTTTGGCTGGTGATTATGTGTACTGTACAGTAGGCCTGATTTATATATATATGTGTTCACTGTCCTAGCAAACATTATCACACTTAACCAGGCTTTCTTGGAATCGACTTGTATGTGAAGATATCTGTGATCAAGTTTCAACTTAACTTAACAACTCATTGTCTATGTCTCAGGTATAAAGACACTGTATGCGCTTTTAACAAGATTCGTCTATTTTTTCTTACACGTGTACGCCTCGTTATCAGGTTCGCTATTTTACTAATGTTCAAATGAAGCAATCTATTAAATATCCATGCAATTTTCGTAAACATCAAACTAAAAAAAGAGACCTGGAATAGTAGTATACCTAGTAAGGGTAATACAAAAAATGATAAATTTGTCATCAGATATTGCACGAAAAGCAATCAGCAAATCAAAACGTAGCAGCTGCGTTACTAAATATTTCGTTTTGTGTGCTAAGCATGACAATTAAAGTAGGTGACAGTGACTTACTTTTTCACATCCTATTTTGCGCCTACATACGAGGTGTGTTGGTTGTGCATCAAATAATATGTAATTCATGGTCTGTACAATGAAAAGCTAGCATACGGACTAGTTGACTGAAGCATAGACAAAGCCATATTTAAACATTGAACTGTTATCAGATGCAGTATACAGTCGATATGAATGCATTTTGAGTGACAGATACATAAAATGTCGCCCGTTATATTTACATTCATATAGTTTGTTTAATATAGTAACTAGCAAAATACGTTTGAATTTCCCGCTTATCATATCAGTGATGTCAGTAAGTTCAAATCCCAGAACAGCCGAATTTTTCAGAAGAAATAACACAGTCCCTCGTGTCATTGTAAACCACACGCACAAAAAAATGGTTTGAACACAAACTTAACTTAATTATTTATTTCATATGAGTGTGTATAAATTGAAAAATTGTTAACAATTGCATAACTTATGCTTGTTTAAGATAAAAGCTGTTTTTCGCGCATTGATAGATTACATGTATTTGGAAGTGATGCGGCGCTAAACGGACTTGATTGTTTACTCAGAAACGCTTATGTTTCCATCGACTGAAATATTACGTTATTTTCAGAAGCATATATACTCGGACATTTCTAATTAAAGTGGTCCTTTTAGTAGGTGACAACGATTCCAAGGACATTTCGTTTGAAACAGATTCCATGTCTAATCGGTCAGATTAGCATCGCTAGCAGACGGCGTTTACAGGGACTCGGTTTCGTGATTTTGAGTAATGGATGACATCACTGAAGAGCCACAACGCTTAAAAAGATATTTATACACATTATGAAACCTTATCGATATCCTCGACTTTTACAAGGTTTTATACATGCTGAATTTTAGTGTTGTGGTTATTCACTGATGTTATGCATAACTCAAAATCTCGAAACCGAGCCCCTGTGTGATAACGTTGACAAACTTGGTAATTTCGTATCTAGAATGGCGCTTACAATAATGTTGTGGTACCTCCACATCTTATAATAAATGTATATTGTCATAATTTGTCAAGTTGTTTTATTTTTGCTAAATGCTAACGAACCTAGAAAGTTATCTGACTATACAGTAGGCCTATCGATATCGGATGTGACTGGCGGCCATGTTTGTTTACTTTGTACCTGTTGTATTACTACACTGGCCGTATCACTGTACATTGTAGTATACAGTTTCATATACTGCAATTTGATTTACTAACGACATATAGGCAAATGCAACACAGAATGTAAATATCACAATATGAAACGACGATTACGGTGGTAGACATGTTTAACATACAGAAATTATACATAAGTGAAAAAACAACATTAGGTTTTACTCATGTACTCAAAATTTTACAAATAATTTTACTGAAAATTGGCGTAGAAGACTTGTGACGCTCACCTAGATGTTTATTATACTGCAAATATTTCCAAACATTTAATCTGTCTTCCAGCAATACACTTACATTATTGGTTCCCATTCCTTCTGTCCCCATTGTCCCCATGGCTTACAACAATAAAAGGTGAATAATACTCAAAATCAAAATTAATCAACTTAGATTCATCCTGTAAATGAAAAACAGGATTTTGATTTTGATTTATCTGTATTTACCTTATCGTGTCACGTCCCTCTGCCCAAAGGGATCCACACCTTCAACCTTTCGAATGAACTTGGGTCCTTGTTGCTCAACGATTTGTCGAATACTAATGTTGTTAAAATCCCTATATTCTTAAAGAAGAATGTTATTTTCCTTCTTGGGCCCAAATTTAACAAACTCTCAATTGATACAAAATTGAATACCTTTTGTCCTAGGTTGATCTGCACAAAATTTGTGTCAAATCTCTCTATTAATACCAAAAAAATAAGACTTTAAGAAATGTGTCCATTTGTTCAACCTAATGGGAACCACCCATCTGCTCCAACTGGGCAATTTCCTCCATTTATACAAAATTGAATTTCGCTTGCCCAAAAATGTTCTAGATTATTCTTGGTTAAATCCTTCCATTCGTACAGATGAAGATACATTTCAAGGAGTTCCCCTACTTTCTCTGTTTGGCTCGACTCTCTGCCTCCCAGTTGGGCCACAACGTTTAATCGTACACACTCGTGTCCCATCTCTGTCCCCTAGGGGCTCTACACCTTTCCATTAATGCAAAATTGAGTTTCCATTGCTGAAGCATGATCTACACCAAATTTAGTTAAAATCCCTCAAATCATACAACAGAAGATGGATTTTAAATTCTGATCCCTATGCTGTCCCTAATTGCCCCGATGGTAGCCAACATGTTCAGGGTTTATGTTTTAATTTTCGACAAACCTTTCATTTATCTGGTTGCAAGCGGACGAAATAAAATTGAATTATCTGCCGATAGGCTGTCGCATAAATAGGTGATGGGTTAAAAAATGTCAATCATCGATGAAACATCGTGGCTTCTGAAGCTCTCTGTAACGAAACCCCACCAGAATTGCCCATACTCTTCAATACACAACAACAAACACTGAACCTGCAAAATGTACAATTTATTTCCACTATGT